AAAAAGTTTGTGAAAATAAAAATAAAGGAAATCATAAAGACTTTTCAGAAGCAACCTGAAAAATTTTAAATAATTTTCAATCGGAATCGTGTATTTTAATTGAGGATAAATTAGAACAAAAAATGACAGTAAATGTTCTTGTTAAATCTGAAAAATTTTTCAAAATGCTTTCTCATAAATTCAGAAAGTAAAAGTGAAATTTTTCAAACACTGAATTCGCTGACAACAATTTGATATTTTAATTAAATTTTACTTGTGCAATTAATATATGGAGCATCTTGGTAATATAGAGTTTACTTAAATGCTTTGATGAATGGTCATCATTATAATATAAAATTTTTATTGAATTTTGGTTTGGATTTTTTTTATATTATAGAAGTTATGTGGAAAATAACAAAAATATATATGAAACAAATGGAAAAAGTTCTCACTGAATTCGAGAAACTTTTACAGAATTCTTTTTCAGAAATTCAAGCTGTAGTAAAGAAGTTATATTAAATACTGAATTAGCTGACAACAATTTAATATTTTAATTAAATTTCACTTATGCAAACACATTATAAAGTCTCTTGGTATTATAGAGTTTATTAAATTTCTTCAATGAATGCTTATAATTGTGTTGTAAAACGTTTCCAATTTGAGTAATAATTTTTACCCCACAACTTCTTCAATATAAAAAATATCCAAACCAAAGTACAATAAAAGTTCTCCCTGAATTCGAGAAACTTTTTTCAGAATGCTTTCTCATAAATTCAAGCTGCAGAAAAGAAGTTCTATTAAATGCTGAATGAGCTGACAACAATTTAATATTTTAATTAAATTTCAGTTATGCAAATACAATATAAAGTCTCTTGGTATTAAAGAGTTTATTTAAATTCTTCAATGAATGCTTATAATTGTGTTCTAAAAATGTTTCAATTTGAGTAATATTTTTTCCCCACAACTTCTTCAATATAAAAAATATCCAAACCAAATTACAATAGAAGTTCTCTCTGAATTCGAGAAACTTTTACAGAATGCTTTCGCATAAATTCAAGCTGTAGAAAAGAAGTTCTATTAAGTACTTAATTAGCTGACAACAATTTAATATTTTAATTAAATTTCTGTTATGCAAATACAATATAAAGTCTCTTGGTATTAAACAGTTTATTTAAATTCTAAATTCTTCATAATTGTGCTGTAAAATTTTTCCCATTGGGTGAATATTTTTTCTCCACAACTTCTTCAATATAAAAAATATCCAAACCAAAGTACAATAAAAGTTCTCGCTGAATTCGAGAAACTTTTACAGAATGCTTTCTCATAAATTCAAGCTGTAGAAGCGGAGTTCCATCAAACAGTGAATGTGCTGACAGCAAACATCCGTATATAAAATATTTTTCAATCGGGCCTTTCTAGTGATGATAAAGGATTACCACTTTGTTATGCATGCAAGAAGGAAAGATAAGAAAATACTGCTTCAAACCTCTGGGTGCAGTATACATTCTTCTGGCCTTTTCTTTGAAATACTAAGAATAAAATTCTGCATATTCCGCATATTAAATTAGCAAACTGAATAAAATTCCATTCCGCAGAGGTTTCTTGAGTTTTCAAAAACACCTCACCTGAATAAAGGTATCTTGATTATGCTTTGCAAACACAGTTATTTTATTCGATTTCTCTCTTCCATTTCTTCAATAAATCTATTGAAAAGCTTTAAATCTGTCAAAAAATTCCAAAATATTTTATCAATGAAATAAATGTACTGTTCTTATTTATATTATTTTAATCAATTAAGTTTTAAAATTAATGTGCTTGCGCAACTCGTCGATTTAAATATTTAAAAAACTAGTAAATCATTGCAACTATTACGGGAGAAGTGAATGCCCTTTTTTAACTGTTTAGCATGCCAATATTTCGAAAATGAAACATCAAATCTGAGTTCAAATTTATTGAGCAATTAGCTTGTGAATAATATTGTACTTGAGACATTTAAATTTTACAGTATGAAACAATTTTTTGCATTTCGCTTGGTTCCGTTTAAATCATAATTTAATTTTCTTATAAAGTTTAGAAATTTGATAGAATTGGCAAGTTTTCATCCGGTTTGTAAGATAATATATCAAATCTATTTTTATAATACGACTATAATGCTTATAAGCTTTTCAAGGCATATTTCAACCCCCTGATCGGCATCAAACTCAAAATTTAATTCAAAATGCGCAAAAGCAAAATATTAGCCTAAAACCAAGCGTTCCAAGTGATTTTATTCTTAGATTTTGATTTATTGAGTTATGTTGAGGGAATTTCACTCAATTGGTATTTTAACACTTACTCAAGTCAAATAATGATCTTTGAAAGGAAAAATTAGTATTAATTTCTTTGGTTTCAACTTTATTTGAAATGAATTTGCAGGTGGCAGATAGTTTATCTGTGGTGGGTGACTACCCTGTTATCAGAGTCCTAGTGACAGAATACATAGAAAAGAATTAAAAATATACACACTTTCATACTCAGATACTTTTTTTTCTTTTGTTGAAATTTTAATTATTGAAAAAAATTATGTCTGGTAAGGTGATGACTTTCAGAGAACTGTTATGCCTTTTCGCGTTATTTGACAATGATATGCTTAAAATTTAACATCAAGTAATGTTTTTTAATGAGTTCACAACCATGTTATTGAAAAGTTTATTGCAAATTACTGTTTTTCTTTTCTGATTCGTTTGATTAATTTTACTTCCAATGCAAAACTTAAAAAAAAGATATGTATAAAGTATGTTCAGTGCTTTTCTCTTTTGGTGAAACTCTAACTAATGATAAACAATTATGCCTGATAAGATTGTGGTTTTCAGGGGCTATTTAACTTTTTTGAGTTATTTGACACTGATATAATTGAAATTTACCACAAATAAGGTCTTTCAATACATTCACAACAGTGATATTGAAAAGATTCTTGTTGTTGATAGTTCGTCCTTTCTGATTCTTATGATTTATTTGATTTTTTAAAAGTATGTCTCTTTATCTTTTTGCCTCATATACAAGTTTTGCTTGCTCTTTACGCCATGTCTAAGCTGAATATAACGATATAACAAACAATGGCCGCGTTAAAAATATTTCTTGATTCGGATTTGAAAGATCTATACATTTGTCAGCTGCAGCCTCTGAACCCCGGCGTTTTAATTGATACAGAAAATATATGAATATAATTTAGAGCATGTTATTCCATTCCATGTGTGAATTTTTTTTAATGCAAAATTGGAAAAAAGGATGTAAAAAATCAAGTCTTGTGTCAAGTGCAAATAAAAGCGAAAAAAGGGGAAACCCCAATTATAAAATTGAATAAAAGAGTGAAATTTATTGAGTAAACTGAATTGAAATAGTCCGAAAAAATTTTGTAACAATGTCATAAGAGCAGGAATTGTGCTGCTGTTGGCCAATTTTAAAAACTAATCTTGGAAAATATTTAGAATATCTTGTCAATACATAATAATTTCATGTGTAAACTGTTAATATATTTCCCAAAATCATATTTAACATTAACACGTACTTCTTCTAAGTGGATACCATTTTTATCCTACCGAAGGTATGTACTGAAACGTAGCTAAAACACCATGACAACTATCAGTAAAAAATTATCCTGGTTTACACCAATGCTCCAAATTAGGAACATTGTTTAAAACGCATTTAATTTTTTTCCCACTCATTTTTTTCATTGTCTTTAGATGCTCTTTATTTGCAAATTTATCAATATTTACACTCCTTGGTTTGAACTTTCTTAATTCGGCATTTAAACGGTAAAGAACTAACAAAATTTAATTTTTAGGATATATTCGAATTTAATATGTAATATAAAAATTGGCAGTAAATTAATATTTTACCAAACACTTTTTACTAGCTAAGAATGAGTACGTTATTTCTTCATATTATTCACGTCAACGGTATATAAAAATATACGTAAGTTGTAACGTTGAATTATAGAAAAACGTGATTATCCAAAAAACTGAAAATTTGCTTAAATAAATTCGAACCGAAATTTACTGAAATTTAAATGATAAATTTGCTTTTTCAGTAATACATAAAATACATTTTTACGAAGTCAAAAGAGTAAATATTCTTTCGCTAATCTTTAGTAAAAATATACGAAAGCAATCAAACCGAAGGGTAGCTGGAAAATTCCATTTCGCTAATATTACGTGAAATATATCAAAGCTATTTTACCAAATATCTCAATGGTAACATCATTCCGCTAGTATTACATAAGATTTAAGTAAAAAGACTATTGGCTTTATTATTTTCCCAAAATTTGAGTTTAATTTACGTATCAAGTTACATGGGTATGAACTACGTCCACTACTGGTCTCAGAAGAGATTCTAAACATTTTACCATTCCGGTTTCAAGTAACCTATAGTATCTAAATAACCCTAATTTACGCTGATCAAGCTGGAGTTAAATACATTTCATTTACAAAATCTACCACTTAAAATAATAAGTAAAAATAAAGAAAGTAAAGTTTTCTTTACTCCCCTGCGATGTTATTTCTTAATTGCTAATTATTCTGCAGATTAAAGTTTTTTCGTCAACCATTAGCTTTATTTTTTTATTTTTTAAAAATTAAGTATAGCAATATTTTTGATTTATTTATTCTAAAATTTTATAAGAGCTTCCTACATGTAATTAGACTACATGTAATTAGACATGTTCTTGGTATAATTAGACACGTAATTTGTTTTGGAATTAATACCTATTTATCGTAAAATACTCTGTTCATTAACAGGATATTTAAATGAATTGAGAAATAAATGTTTTTTTACGTATGGAACTAAGATTTAAATTTTATATCTGAAGGTACCTAGAAAAATGGAAAGTAAGTTTTCAGAGAACCAATATTTGCAAAAAAGAAAGCATCCTGTATCGAAAAAACATCAGTTTAGAAAAAAAATCTTTTCTGGTGCGTTTGATGTGAAAGGATGCAATACCGTAACAGGAAGTGAAAAAGAAATCTTTTGAATGAAAATCTTACCTCAGAATTTCCATTTCTTAGATTCAACGATTTTAAAGTAGAAAAATCTTGTAGTTGACTTCGGTTACTTTAGCATGCGATACACTTTCCCCCCTCTATATGTGTTCTTCAATGCATTTCGAATATAGTGAACAAGGCATTCTTTTTCCTTTTTCGATATGAATCCTGAAATGGAAAAGTAGATAAGAAGATGGGAAAAGATATCTGTTGCTGAAATAATATACTAAATATCATAATACACTCGAATGCATGGTTCAGGTGAATTGGAAGCATAGTCACAGCTCAATGAATGTTATTTAAAAATATTTTTTTTTAAATGCATTATTAATAAAAGCAGTAAATTTTGATGATTTTGCTACAGTTATTATTTTTAAAATATATGTAACTAATGGACAGAAGATTGCTCCATCATGAGACTTAGTTGTTAGAAAGTCCGTTTCAGTCTGCTCCGTCTACTCAAATTTTTGCACTATATGTGAAAAATAAAGTTGTGTTTTTAAAAAAAAAGTCGTGTGTTTAAAATTCTTTCCAATTTCATATTTTGCAGTGTAAAATCACAATAATTAAAATTATGCAAAAAATGGTATCCCTAACATCTTAAAATTGTCCAACTGTTATTAAATAAAATAATAAATATTTGCTGAACGTTATTTTTTGAGGGAAATATCTTTGTACAAATGAATTTTTTTAACTGTGTGCACAAAATGTTTCAAATCGCTTAAAAAGTTCTAGAGATATGGTGAAATGTACGAAAATAAATTTATCATTAAGAAGTCCGAACTTTGTGGGTCGCTTTTTTGACCCAACAGTGGGGGCCATGTTTTGCAGATTGCGGCTACTCTATGTTTTAGGGGTAAGAAATTCGAATCCATCGAGAAAAAAAAGGCACACTTATTCAAAGAAAGGGCTAAACATTTTCTTTTCCATTTTCTTAATTTTTTTTTCTTCACATTTTAGAAAAATAAATGCTGGTATGTTTCCATTTCGAGAAGGTGTAAAAATCACCTAACTATCATTGATGCCAGTAATGCTCAATTACTTTTTGTATTAGTTAGGTGATAATGGTGTTGTAATAAGTACCCATTATAGTAATATCACGTGAGAAATCAAAGTGTGTTCGGATATTAAAAGAACTGAGGAAGCAGTTTTTGAGTTGACCAGCACAGCGACTATATTATATGAAAATGTTTAATTAAATTATTAAATTTTTTTCGTATCTTTGAGTTTCTTAAATGTTTCTAGCTAACAAATGTTCATAAGAGTTCTATCAAACAACCATTTTTTTTCGATTAAAAAGTATGACAAAAGTCAAAATTAATAAAGACAATTAATCCTATGGTGAATGCACAAAACTTAAAGGAAAATATTTTAGTTCAGATCACAACCACAAATATTTTAAATTTTTTTTCCTAAAATTCTTCCAATTTTCAAGAAAATTTTTAGTTAAACATTGCAACTAATTACATTTTCTATCTTAAGCCAAAACCATTTCTGACAATTTAATCTTCATTTGATTTCTGGCATACCTTAATACTTTTCAACGTTAATTAAAAAATCTTCCCGGAAAGCTAAGTTAATATTTCACTATGTCTTAGTTCTTTAACTTATTTTATTTTAATTCTACAGAGTTATATTTATCTGAATTATTGCTCTTAGATAGCTGCACTCGTAAGATCGAAATTCTCTTAAGGGGATAGATAAATATTCTGCTTTTGTGCTGTAAACATATAATTAAGTTAATATGCTTCGATAATTATAATTACTCAAGATCTCAAATGAATTCTGCTTTTGAAGAGAATAGAAAATTTCGTAAGATTATAACAAATGTTTGCAAATTTGATTAACTCGGACAAAAGAGTTAACACTTAACATTGTTCTTTGTAATGAAAAGTTCCTATTACTGTTTAGCAATTTATCCTTTATATTTCATTGACTAATACCAGAATGAATTTTTCTTCAGAATAGTTTGGTACATTATTTTATATTTACATCAACGATATATGCAATGAATTCATTGAGTCTATTTAATTTAACACAACAAAATACAGCATACTTATGGAATTAAAATTAAATAAACCCAAACAAATAGCTTCACGCTTAATGAGAAATTTCTTGACATATTTTATCGCAATTCCCGATTATCGAACGCAAAACTGATAATTGTGATTTATAAGCTGCACATGGTGTAAGCATGTATATTTCAGTTAAATTAATGCAGTGTATAGTGATGACACTTTTCGTAAAAAAAAACAGCATAATTTCGATTAACAAAAACAAAATATACGGTTTTTATATTACTCCTTGGTAATTTTTCTATTTATATGGTAGCTGTATATGTTTTGAATTCCAAAATTATAGTTCGGTTTACGACAAATTTTCATTAAAAAATATATACTTGAGAAGTAAATTTAGCTGATTTAATTTATCCATGCTTAATTATATTATAATTGCTCTACAATTCATGCCATGCTCTAAGGTATCATGAAAAAGTTAATAAATTATTTTCGAACATATAGCAAATTGCACATTTGCTGATGAATTCACCAAATTTTTTCGAAAGACCTTCGGTAAAATTTTCCGAGCTCTTTGATGTAGCCATAAAGCCAGAAACATGGTAAATTTTACCATATTCAAGTAGTTTTGACCACACTATTTTTCTCAGAGAGCGAATCGTTAAAAAGCATGCAAATTAAGAAGGGTCTTCTTCAAAACATAGAGCTTTAAAAATTTTAGAGATTGCTGAATCGCAATTTCTTAATACCATGCTAAAGCTTCAAAACGTTATTTTGCCATTTAAATATTCCTTAACTGGATTATTCGATACCATCATTGAGCTCAAAATAAAACATGGTTAAGATTAACAGCATTTTCGAGTATAATTCTCTGAACAAAGAAATATTCAAAGCCTATGGACTGTGATGTCATAAAAACACTTTTCGAAGAAGTTTCTTAGACCAACAGTTCGTAGTGCTTTCTATCAGTGCTAAAAGACGAAGGTTAATTGTTTAAATGTTACTGTAGATTTCAACAGGCAGCTGAGAAACTGCATTGAATTATTACAGTATATTGCTACGAAATAATAGTACATCTCTTGTTTAAGTTTACTTTTGTTTCATTTCAATAAACATTATTGAATCCAATATAGATTACGTGAATTTCCTTGAGTGTTTTTTTTAATAGTACACATTTCTACCGAAATATAAAATTCTAAACAATTCGAAATCCTAAATATATATTTCAGTTTCATTATCCGTATTATAGTTTTCGTATATAGTGTTCGTATGTAGGGTAATATTTTATAAATACAATAAAAGGGGGGAAATTATGACGTCAAAGAATTGTGCATCTAAAAGGTAATTTTAAATCATGTAGAAAAAAAAATAAAATAATCGAAATTATCTCATTTCTATTTTTTTTAAAAAATAAGGTTCTCTACTTACATGTTTATGTAAATTTTTTTAATGTGAAAAAAATATTTTCCTCATTTTTCCTTAAAAACTATTTATTTATACGGAATTTATATTAATATGCTAATTGAGAAAGCACATTTGAATATATTTTGTGAACTTAAGTGCATCAGCAATATTTTATCCTTTTAAAATGCAATATTTCCATAAAATTTTGACAAGCTACCATTTTTGCTTGAGGATAAACTAATCCGACAAATTTTAAGCTTTAATACAAGATTGAAAAACTTTTCTTCGCTTTCTAGAATTTTTCTTAGAATTTTTTTTCTCTTTTTTTTAAAATATATATATATATATATATATATATCGTACACTCATTTATAGGTTTAAAAAAACATTTACATTAAAANGAGATCATTATCTAGGATATATATTCTTATCTGAGGAAAATTTCCAAAACTAAATATGCTGTCAGGCGGAGAAGACATTTAAAAAACATTTTTGCTTCAATTCTGATTTTTCTCCAAATGATAAGGGATTACTACTTTATTATGCATACAAGAAGAAGAAATAAGAGAATATTTTAAGCTTTTGAAAGGAATTCATTTTTTTTTTATAAACTCTTCAAAAGAAATCCGAGATGCGACATGGCATACTTAGATTACCTGTTAAGAAGCACAATGCATATCACTCCGTATGCTTCATATATGAGTTTTAAGTTTTTCAAAATTATGTTTGTTAAATGAAAAAAATAAATTTATTCTATAAGCTGAGTTGGAATCTAAATTTCACGAAGTGATACTGTAGTTTTCATGTTTCACAGTAGTATTTTGAGACGAAATATAAATGCTAAAAAATATTATTAAAAAAATGTTCCACTGTAAAAAGTTTTTTGAGTACCTTAACACTAAAGATGATGGTAACTACATGACACGACAGCAGTCCTGCAAAACTAAGGAAAGTTCCTGGCGTAATAAAACACAAAGAATGTTTTTTTTTTGTTTTTTGGTGGTTACAACTTTTGGTGTAAAGTAGCTGCCACCATATTCTGGTTTCCAGTAACTCGAAAATTTATAATTACAGTAAGATAAGAGTCATAAGATGTAAGATAAGAGTCATAAGATGCAAGATAAGAGTCATAAGATGTAGGATAAGAGTCATTAAAGTTATTTTACGACGCAATTTAAAGTAATAAATATTAACTTAACAACTTATTCCAAAAAAAATTTTTTTTGTAAATAAAACATACCCGTAGGACAAAATATACATTACAAATGCATTACAAGTCGCACGAGAATTCCAAATATACATTAAGAAATTATTTACAACAGCTTTCAGTGGCTTAAAATTTCATTTTATGACCGTCGTTGAACAGCTGAATTTGAGTTAACAACTACCGTTCAACTTCGTTCTGATGTTTAAATCTTTGACCTCGCAATTTTGAACCGAATCCAGAAAACAGAGGAACTCCTGGATAAAATATTTGGAGTATTTTGACTCCGTGGAGGACTTTTTGATGGGCCTAGTTATATGGAGAGGAATATAACTAAGAGGAAGCCACGAAAACCTCTCACCTGACGGCAAGGGGACTTTAACCCATGATTCGTCCACCGCTCGGGATATTTTTCGTCAGCACTGTAGCCGGCGAGAACCGTTAGTGCGGAATTCGTATCAACCAGCCATCGTTGCGATTTGAACCCGGGTCTCCTCATTGGGAGGTGAGCGCTCTATCCCCCAAACCACCACGGCTTTA